TTCAGAATTTCTGTGCAATGTTATAAAAACATTTAAACTGACTGATGCATGGAGGCACGCCAATACAGGTTCAAAACAATATACATGGAGCCGTAATGACACGCACTCCAGATTAGATATGTTTTTCGTGTCGAAATCAGTGGCGTCTAGAATAACCAAGCAACAATTCATTCACATTACCAGTTTTCTGATCACTGTCCTGTAACTCTCACACTATCACTCAAAAACATATCAAACCGCAACCCAGTGTGGTCCTTCAATGTTCGTCTTCTGGACGATGAAGAATAGTGTGATATACTCTAACAATACTGGTTGTCATGGCGTAAGCAAAAGTCTCGAATCCAGTCAATTCAGTTATGGTGGGATACAGGCAAACGTAACATTCAGCTACTTACAAGACAATACACTTCAAAACTTAGTTGTAATCACCGTACAGTTAAACATAACTTACTCAATGAAATTGCAGATCTGGAAAAAAAAAGCAAATAATAACCCTGTACTTGAACAGGCGTTAAATGAAAAAAAAAGAATTGTTGGAAAATATGGTCCGGTATGGAACAAAAGGGGCGGCGATCAGAGCGCGCCATCAAGTGTTAAACGAAAATGACACTCCATCGTCTTTTTACCTTGACCTTGAAAAACATAAAGGCGGCAAAAAGGTCATTTCCCAACTCCAAAGTCAAGATGGCACTGTCACTGATGATCCCCCAAAAATGTACAAAATTGCCAAACCGTTCTATACAGATCTCTTTTCACCAGACCCTGTTTCCACCCACTGTCAAAATGTTTTGTTAGAGGGGCTTCCGCAACTTTCGACTAAAAACAAAGACAAATGTGACTCACTACTAACCTGTGATGAACTTACTAAAGGTGTAAAACTCCTGGCAAATGGTAAAACCCCTGGTATCGATGGCCTGCCAGGGGAGTTTTACAAACATTTCTGGCTAGTGTTAGGGCCTGACTTGTTTTAAGTCTTTAGGACCTCACTTGAAGAAGGTGTTTCACCAACATCTTGTCGCAGAGCACAGGTCACACTACTACCCAAACTGGATATTCAAGTTTTGTTTAATTAAACTTAATTAAAACGCAATTCTACCTTGTATTGCATTGTAATTGAGTTTAATTAAACTTCAATAAAAACGCAACCTTATATAAAGAACGCGTTTTAATCGAGTTCATATCGCAACTATATTAAAAGTTAATTCAACTATTTTAAAAATTAATCCAATGTTTGTCGTTACAACGATGGTACGACGTGAAGGCATGTGAGTGTGCATGATCGGTGCGTGTGTGTATGCACGTGTGTGTCCGCCTGCCCCACGGATATCTCAAGAACCATACGTTGTTTTCAACGAAACTTAGATAGATACTCTGAACTAATGCGCAGCTTTGATTAGCTTTTGCATTAGATTTATGCATATTAACTATCTAGTTTGCATGATAATTTTTAACTGTCCCATGACTGTTACACTGATATATATAAAAAAACTACTCATTGACTCATTTACATGAAACTTTGTACATAGATGTTTTGGTTAAAAATTAACCTAATTAGTATAATTAGCACATTTTTTAGCTTTTTTAAAGCTCTTGTAGGAAATAGACTCAGAACATATATTATGATAGTGGTCTACGTCTACGTTTCCTGCTGGGCAACTGATGGTGTAACAAAATGTATAGCTTTGAATCATAGCTAGACTATTACAGTAGAAGTTACAAAAAAATTAAACGTATCTCGTGAATATTCATTGAACCAGTAAAGATAATTAATAAATCCCGATAATATCAATTTGGAATTTGGAAGACGCACTACCACCATCTTTTCAAAGCGGCCGGCTGAGGGCGTTTGGGTATCATGATGAAAACGTGTTATCATTTTTTTGAATAAGATGTGTTTATGAAAGGGACGTACACAAAAGATTCACCACCAAACAAAGGCTCATAGCCTCGTCAGGTGACAACTTCGTGGTCATTCTGGTAAAGTTCCTTGGCATATTTTATGCTGCTCACACATTTGTTCAGATTTTCTTTTTTTAATAAACTCCGCCCTCTACAGTTGTGCTAGTCAAGTGTCTCTCGTTGCATCCATGACACGTCGACACGCGCTCGTTATAATTTACCATGAACCTGTGGGTATCACTTCAAGTACATTTCCTAGATCTACCTTATTCAACCAACACCACCCTTGGATATGCAGTTAACGTGCTCGACAATATTTATGATTTTTGCTACTGTCTAGTTATAGTTCAAAACAAAGTGTTTGACCTAATTCATTGAACATGTTTATAGCAACAATGTCCTTTTTCATCAAGCATGCCCCTGGATATGTCTCGCGCTGAGTTGTTGGTTTGGTTATAAAATGACACGCCCTTTATACATTTTATAACCGACTTCTAACATGGCAATGCGCCCTCCAATAATAAAATGTTGCGTTAGATTAACCAATCATGTGTGTTCTTTTGACGATCTCCTGCCAATCAAGATAAGCTGACAAAGCCATGTTCTGGCTAACTTCTCTCAATTTATGCAGAGAATATAAATCGTGAATCCGGCGATCTGATTGGTGGAGGGCACGTAGCCATGTTAGAACTATCAATTACAGTATCATTCTTTATTTAAGGGGTCAACCATTTGAAATCGTGGGGGTGGCTGGAAGAGTGTGACCAGTGTATTTTTTCACATTGTCTTGTATGTACATTCTTATTTATCTTGAATGTATCAACCGATTTTTTTTCTCTCGGTGTGTAGTTGAATTTTTGTTTAGCCTCGCCCCTAATTATTTTAAATGACCCCTAATTCAGGTTGGATCATATGTTAAACTATGTCATTTTTGCATAACAAGTACCTTCGTGACTCGACTGTATCTGGAGTTTGTATATGCATCTCCGGTATAGGTATATGTATCTCATGTGTCCTCACCGATATATAACATGGCAATACGACCGAGTGTCGATTTATTTATACAGTCGCGCGATCTGTTTTTGCTTTATTTTTCCTGTTGTACCATGCCATTTATACACTTAAATGTAACGCTGTCATTGTCATTGTCGAGTTTAATTTGTGAAACAACGTAGAACTAAAATATAGTATTTTAGATTTCTGGTCAGAGATATGCTGTTTCCCTTGAGCGGAAACCGACGGAGCTTAACCTGCAGTGCATTAACTAGCACAAATATGTAATCATGACAACGTGGGAAGTCATATGAGACATCGCGGTTATAGGTATTATTGGTGTATTGGGGAGTCATATGAGACATCGCGGTTATAGGTATTATTGGTGTATTGGGGAGTCATAATAGAAGCAGCGGTTATAGGTATTGTCAGTGTACTTTCAATCACTAAAGTGAACTCTAGATGAACTTGGGGAATTGTGGAATTAACAGAATGTGACTCACAAAAAACGTGTGTGCACAATAAGTTTATAAATATAAGGGGCACCAGTAACAATTCATATGACGGTTGGGATTTAACCTACCGCATTCTTCCATGGCTAATCACAGACATGCGCACACCCGACAATGATGTATATACACAGTTTGGAATTCGTGTTATTGTTAGAAATTTCGTATTTGATAGACCGGTACTCCACCATAAATAACAGTACAGACATAAAAACAAATGTGTATTGATCTGTCATTCGCAACTGTGGTCGCCGTAGATTTCTGATTTTCTTAGATGTCTGATTTCCCGTTGAATTACAATCAATCACACTTTAATTCGTTCACATCACCCCAGTATTCACCCGATATGATAT